GTTCATCCATTTTTATATCGGATAGTGGCTAAAACCATGACCAACGCCTTTTATGCTGACTGATATTTGATATATCATTGCGAGCAGGCCCGACTTACAGACTAAGCAAGTGAAGCAAAGGATTAGGGCATTAAAATTTGGGGGCATTTTTTAGGCCAATTTTCTTAAAGTTTTATATATATAAATTATATTATAAACCTCTTTTTAAAAGATCAATATTTTGGTGGGCTTCTTTCAATCATATTTGTGGGGTTTAACTTAACAAAATATAATTTTGTGTATAATCTACTATTTTCTAAGATAATTTTTTGATAAATATGTGAATTTTATTAAAAATAAAGAGTTTTTTTATTTATTTTTTTTTACAGCAAATGAAGAGTTAATTTACAAAAGACTGTTAATAGTTTAGGATCAATTAACCTTACTAAAGAAATGTAAAAGATAGAGTAAATTTAACAAGTGAGCATAGGTTAAAAAAATTTTTGTACAAAAATGGAAAAAAGTATGCTTTTCTTAATTTGCGTAGGGCATCTGAAAACGTTGGACCGGCCCTGATTGCGAGTTAATCCTCCACAATTTCTTCCTAATAAAAATAACTGCACAATAATAATAGAAACGTTTATATTTTTATCACATAGTCATATTGGATAGACATCTTTAGGCATTTAAAAAATTCGATGTGTAACAAACAAACAAAATTAACCCTAAAGGCTAAAAGATGACTATGTAATCATATTTAAATTGTACAGAAAATATAACCATTCTCTTGTTATCGTTGCAACTATTTTTATTAGGAAGAAATTGAGGAAACTTCGAATGAACTTGTCAAGGATACTAATAAAAAGGTTTATTTAGCAATTTATATAGAAAGTCAAATACTCAACTGAAGTTTGTTTAACTTCTCAGTATAAACAAAAAAAAAAAGTTGAATATGAAAGTGTCTAAGCTTTTTGAAGCTATAAAATGAGATAGCAATTCTGAAAACTATCAAGTTCTGAAAACTATCAATGGCTAATACCTCTAAATCGATAGCTCTATCAATAATCTTCCTATTATCCTCAATTTCTTGTGTCTTAAGTCAACAGGAAAACAAATTTCTTAACCATGGCTTTCTCGGAGCTAATCTCCTCACTTTTGGCTCCTCAAAGATCCACCAGAGTGGCCTCTTGGAGTTGACAAATACTTCAATGAGGCAAATAGGTCAAGCTTTTCATGGCTTTCCCATACCCTTCTTGAACCCTAACTCCTCAAATTCTGTTTCTTTCTCCACAAGCTTTGTCTTCGCCATCACTCCAGGACCAACCACACCAGGCCACGGCTTGAGCTTTGTTATCTCTCCGTCGATGGACTTTAGCGGAGCCTTTCCCAGCAATTACCTTGGCCTTTTCAACACATCCACCAATGGAAACTCCTCAAACCGCATTCTTGCAGTTGAGTTCGACACGGTTCAGTCCGTTGAAATGAACGATATTGATGATAACCATGTTGGTATCGACGTAAATGGAGTGATCTCCATTGAATCTGCCTCCGCTGCATATTTTGATGACCGAGAGGCAAAGAACATTAGTTTGAGGTTGGCGAGTGGGAAACCTATTAGAGTCTGGATCGAATACAATGCGACCGAGATGATGCTCAATGTCACATTGGCTCCTCTAGATCGTCCGAAGCCAAACTTGCCTCTTCTATCGAGAAAACTAAATCTCTCTGGGATTGTCTCTGAAGAACATTTTGTTGGATTCTCTGCAGCCACGGGAACTGTCACGAGCTCACATTTTGTGCTAGGCTGGAGCTTCAGCATCGAGGGGAAAGCATCAGACTTTGATATTACGAAGCTTCCCTCTCTTCCAGTCCCACCGCCTCCATTGTCTCCGTCCCCAAGTCCTCCGGTTTCGGTCAAGAAGAAGTCGAGCAACATGAAGCTGATCATAATCATTGCTACAGCAGCAACATTTGTAATCTTGTTCTTGATCTTCTTAGCAGTTTGTGTTTTTCGTAGAAGGGAAAACTTCACCGGAGGCGCACGGAAATTCTCACACCAGACGATTTCCAGCGCAACGGGAGGTTTCGACAACTCTAAGCTTTTGGGAGAGAGAAACTCTGGCAGTTTCTACAAAGGGCAACTTGCTCCCACAGAGATAATTGCCGTAAAGAGAATTACTTGCAGCACAAGGCAGCAAAAGACAACCCTAATAGCTGAAATCGATGCGATCTCCAAGATAAAACAAAGAAACCTTGTTAATCTACATGGTTACTGCAGAAAAGGAAACGAGATCTATCTAGTTTACGAATATGTCCCCAACGGAAGCCTGGACCGGTTCTTGTTCAACAACGACCGACCAGTTCTCACATGGGTAGACAGGTTTCGTATTATAAAGGGTATTGCGTCAGCACTTCAACACCTTCACGGTGAGGTTCAAAAACCTCTTATACATGGAAATGTCAAAGCAAGTAACGTACTCTTGGACGAAGAGCTAAACGCTCGACTAGGAGACTATGGACAAGGAAGCAGACACAGCACTACGGGACATGTGGCACCAGAACTAGTCAACACGGGAAAGGCTACACTTGAAACAGATGTGTTTGAGTTTGGAGTGTTATTGATGGAGATTGTTTGTGGAAGGAGAGCCATAGAGCCGACAAAGGAACCGGTAGAGATCAGTTTAGTTAACTGGATGCTTCGAGGGGTCAAGAGCGGCAATCTCTTGAGGAGATGCGACAAAAGAATCAAGAAAAAGGATTTGGTGTCGGAGGAAGTGTCATTGGTTTTGAAAACAGGACTTCTCTGCGTGAGACGATCTCCAGAAGCTAGGCCAATGATGAAGAAAGTGTTGGAGTATCTCAATGGTACAGAAAGTCTCCCTCATGACGACTACGTCGTCTAAAAGAGGAAATAGCAAACGGTGATCCGAAACGCGGTTGTATTAATGGAAGCGTTTGCGTTTTGGGGTAGAAATCAAGATTGGACCAAGATGCATAAGCATGATGTGAATAAATCCTAGAATGGTATATATTGAACTTTTAAAATGGAAAATAAAAATTTCTGGTTTTCAGAAATATTCTCGTACGTCGATTAAACAATCCTCGTACTCTTCCGAGAAAATTAATATTTAAAGATATTTTTGTTTGATCTTAAACTAAATGATGTTTGTTCGTCTTTTTAGGATAAATAGTTTGTATTGTTAAACAAAAGATAAGCAAATAAATAGTATAATTGGATGTTTGTTCTTAGGCAGACTTTTTTAGCCCTTTCATTGTGATTTTAATCATCTTTGTTCACCCTTAGATATTTTTAGTAGCAATGAAATCTAGATTTCTATAGACTTTGGGAATTAGTTTGGGTTTCGGACTGGAATTCTCCTGGTTAACAAAAAAAAGAAGGGTCTGATGTGTTGTTGATACTGAATCCACATATTTCTTAATGAAAGTTGAATTATAGTTACGAGAACTTTATGTGACTAGTGACTACTTCTACGTAAGGGAAATATCCATAGGAACGAAACTACAAAAATAAATAGTCAAGTCTTGTTTTCTGATTAAAATTCAATTTCCTTAAAACGAGCGTATTAATTATATTTATAATTAAACTTCTTTTTTTGACATCATTGGATCGACAAGGTCCGATCCATAGCTAACCCTATTACGCGGGGTAACGCGATTTAGTAGAGTCGAACTCCGGTGGAGAATGCGGAATCAAATGAACTTAACCACTTGAAAGCACATCCTCAAAAAGAATGATAGAGTGATTTCGCCGGAATGTTCATCCATCTTTATATCGGATAGTTGCTAATACCAAAGCCAACGTGTAAGATACTGTGAACTGCAATAGCTCACCAGAAAGAAGTAAGGTTAAAGATTATTGAAATGACCAAAGATTTGCCGAGTAATTAATTAAATTGAGTTGGGAGAGAGGTTTGGTAGACATAAAATTCACCTTTATGTGTAGATGGGATCCAAAAGAAAAAAAAAAAAACTATTTTGTAGTTCGTTTTTTGCAAATTATTATAACCTATAATAAAAATTTGCTGGTTTTTTCTACCTCACTCCACTTCTCACAAATATCAAAACATGGATCAGAGGGTCCGGTAAAATACTAGAAATATTTAAAAGAATTTATTTTATTTTGATATTTTTGTTACCCTATAGATTTGGATGTAAATACTTAGATCACTTTTGTATAATTGGAACTAATTCTTTATGGTTTTGAGAACTATTCCTTCGATTAACAAACAATTTGTTTGTACACTTCCCCCTTAATATTTTAAAGTATTTCTCTATTCAAATATGAATGATATTTGTTCGTTATTTTACAATAAATAGTTTGTCAATTGTTAAAGAAAAATAAGAAAATATATATGACTTAGTGTTGATTACACATTTAATGAAAGTTAAGATTATTTCGTTTATGTAATCTATGGAACTTTATGTACATCTACATATAGAATTGGGAGATTTCTCAAATGGGTCTACATTTAATTTGTACAAGATTTCCATGAAATTTTTTCTTAATTTTGTAGTTTATATTTGTTTCGAATCAAACTCCGCAAGTTTTCAATAAGAACGAAACTATGAATTGAATGGTCAAGTCTTCTTTTTCTTCGTTTTCACTTTGAATTATTAATTTGATAGCATATTCTTTATTTTTGGTTAGTGTTTAATATGAATATTAATATTTAAAGCTCATTGTTTAACACTTTCAAGGAATGTTCATCCATTGTTTAACACTAAGGCCAACGCCTTCGTACACTGACCACGTTATTCTTGCAATTATTTTTATTAGAGAAGAATTTTTGAGGAAAGTCCGAATGAAATTTTCAAGGATAATAATAAAATGGTTCGTTTAGCAATTAATTCATAGAAAGTCAAGTACCCAACTTAAGTTTGTATAACTTCTAAGTATAAACAAAATGGTTTGAATAATGTAATGGTCAGAGTTTTTGAAGCTATAAAACGGATAGTAATGAACATATATTGATATAAGTAACATCAAACACTAAAAACTCATCAACGATGATTACCTCCAAATCTATAGCTCTAACAATAATCTTCCTATCATATTTTGTGTCTTGTGTCTCAAGTCAACGAGAAACTAAGTTTCTTAACCATGGCTTTCTCGGAGCTAATCTCCTCAACTTAGGCTCTTCCAAGGTTCACCCAAGTGGCCTCTTGGAGTTGACAAACACTTCGATGAGGCAAATAGGTCAAGCTTTTCATGGCTTTCCCATGCCCTTGTCAAACCCTAACTCCACAAATTCTCTTTCTTTCTCCACAAGCTTCGTCTTTGCCATCACTCAAGGAACCGGCGCACCAGGCCACGGCTTAGCTTTCGTCATTTCACCAACGATGGACTTCAGTGGGGCTTTTCCCAGCAATTATCTCGGCCTCTTCAACACCTCCAACAATGGAAACTCCTTGAATCGCATTCTTGCAGTTGAATTTGACACCGTGCAAGCGGTTGAGTTGAATGATATCGATGATAATCATGTTGGTATCGATTTAAACGGAGTGGTCTCCATTGAGTCTGCACCGGCTGCATATTTTGATGATCGAGAGGCCAAGAACAGAAGCTTGAGGCTGGCGAGTGGGAAACCCATTAGAGTCTGGATTGAATACAACGCAACTGAGATAATGCTCAATGTCACATTGGCTCCTCTAGATCGTCCGAAGCCAAGTATACCTCTTCTCTCGAGAAAACTGAATCTTTCTGGGATTTTATCTCAAGAACATCACGTTGGATTCTCTGCGGCCACGGGAACGGTAGCGAGCTCACATTTGGTTCTAGGTTGGAGCTTTAACATCGAGGGGAAAGAATCAGACTTCGATATCACGAAGCTTCCTTCACTTCCAGACCCGCCACCAACATTGTCTCCATCCCCAAGTCCTCCGGTTTCAGCCAATAAGAAGTCGAGCAACACGATGCTGATCATAATCGTGGCTGCATCAGCAACGGTTGCAATCATGATCCTAATCTTCTTAGCATTTTGGTTCTTCCGTAGAGACAAAATATTCTTCACCGGAGGTGCAAGGAAATTTTCCTACCAAACAATTTCCAGCGCAACGGGAGGTTTTGACAGCTCTAAACTCTTGGGAGAGAGAAACTCTGGAAGTGTCTACAAAGGTCAGCTTACTCCCACAGAGATAATCGCCGTGAAGAGAATAACTTGCACCACAAGGCAACAAAAGACAACCCTAATAGCCGAGATCGATGCAATTTCCAAGGTAAAACAAAGAAATCTTGTTGATCTGCATGGTTATTGCAGCAAAGGAAACGAGATCTATCTAGTTTACGAGTATGTCCACAACGGAAGCCTAGACCGGTTCTTGTTCAGCAACGACCGCCCTGTTCTCACCTGGTCAGACCGGTTCTGTATCATAAAGGGCATTGCGTCAGCACTTCAACACCTTCACGGTGAGGGACAAAAACCTCTTATCCACGGAAACGTCAAAGCCAGCAACGTACTCTTAGACGAAGAGCTAAACGCTCGACTAGGAGACTATGGACACGGAAGCAGACACAGCACCACGGGACATGTGGCACCAGAACTAGTCAACACGGGAAAGGCTACACGTGACACAGATGTTTTTGAGTTTGGAGTGTTAATGATGGAGATTGTTTGTGGAAGAAAAGCTATAGAACCGACAAAGCCACCAAAAGAGATCAGTTTAATTAATTGGGTTCTTCGAGGACTGAAGAAAGGATACATGAAAGGCTATTTGTTAAAGAGATGCGACAAAAGAATCAATACAAAGGATTTGGTGTTTAAGGAAATGTTGTTGGTTCTGAAAACAGGACTTCTCTGCGTGAGACGATGTCCAGAAGCTAGGCCAATGATGAAGACAGTGTTGCAGTATCTCAACGGTACAGAACGTCTCCCTCATGACGACTACGTCGCCTTTGGAGTCTAAAAGAGGAAATTCCAAACGATGATCTCAAAACGCGGTTGTATTGATGCGTTCGCGTTTGGGGTAGTGTGGATTATAGATTAGACCAAGACGCATAAGCATGCATGACCTAAATATAACCTAGAGTAGAATGGTATATATACACAATTTGTATATTTAAAATATGAATTTTTGGTTTTGAGAAATATTCTTGTCGATTGACAATCTTCATACTCGTCCGGGGAAATTAATATTTTAAAATATATATGTGACCTAATATATATAATGTTTTGTTATGTCATTTTAGGATAAATAATTTGTATTGTTCAAGAAAAGGTAATTTATACTATATGAGTTCGTGTTTGATTTAAGGATCTTACAGCAGAATATCAAGCTCACTATGTCATTTAAAAAAAAAAAAAATTTGACGAATCCCACTTGTGTGTGTTTTGAGACTAAATGACTAATCTGTTGAGAATTTATTTTTAATTAATATCCCAAAACATTCTTAGAGCATCTCCAACGGGGAGTTGTCTCCATGAAGCTCTCTCAATTTTTTTATTATAAATTTGTTGAAAATTTGAGATGAGAATTTTTGTTTTTTTTTTTAATTTTTCATACTCCAATGGTAGGTTCTCTAGTGAGGTTCTTTTAAGAAAAAATTTTTTTATTAAAAATATTATTTCATAAAACTTAATAATTATTACAATTCATAAAAATATTAAACATACATTATTTCAAACATTTTTAAAAAGATATGCAAAAAAAAAAAATTTGGAATAACGATTAGTTTTACTCTCGATTGTTGCGAAAATTTCGCCAGATATGCTCAACCAAGTCAGCTTTCAATTGTTGATGCATATCACGATCGCGAACTTGATTTCGTCTGCCCATTATATTCCCGAGATTTGTAGGCATCTCTCTAGAATACGCTAAATCGACTTGAGAAGTTAGGTTTGCTTCATCTTGTGTGAATTCCAAAACATCAAACTGAGTGTAACCATCTCTCTCGTCCTCTACTATCATATTGTGCAGTATGATACATGCTCTCATTCTCTTTCCTATTTTTTCCTTATCCCAAACAAGAGCTGGGTTTTTAATAATGTGAAACCGAGCTTGCAGTACTCCAAATGCACGCTCGACATCTTTACAGACTGCTTCTTGTTTTGTAGCAAATAAAGTGGCTTTCCGAGTTTGTGGTAGTCGGATAGATTGGATAAAAGTCGCCCATTTCGGATAAAAGTCGCCCATTTCGGATAAATACCATCTGTGAGATAGTATGCCAGATGATAATCCCGTCCGTTGACTACGTAATTCACATTCGGAGCTCGGCCTTGTAAAATATCATCAACAACGGGTGATCGATCAAGAATATTGATATCGTTTAAAGTACCTGTCATTCCAAAAAACGCGTGCCATATCCAGAGATCTTGTGATGCGACCGCCTCTAAAACGATGGTTGGTTTACCAGAGCCACGCGTATACTGGCCTTTCCAAGATGTTGGGCAATTCTTCCACTCCCAGTGCATACAGTCGATGCTTCCTATCATCCCGGGAAATCCTCGACTTGCCCCAATATGGAGTAGTCTTTCCAAATCTGCTACAGTTGGTGCTCTTAGATATTCATCTCCGAACAAAGAAATGATTCCATCGGTAAAATTTTCCATGCATGAAATCGCAGTGGTTTCACCGATTCGGAGATATTCGTCAAGCGCATCAGCCGCACAACCATATGCAAGCAAACGAATCGCTGCCGTACATTTTTGTATTGGAGAGTGCCCGAACCTTCCTGTAGCATCTCTTCGATGTTGAAAGAACTGAATTTCACTAGATAGTCGATCGACAATACGCAAAAACAATGGCTTGTTCATTCGAAAACGGCATCGTAATATTTGAGGTGGAAATATCGCATTCTCACTAAAATAGTCGTTCCATAGGCGAATGTGTCATTCTTCACGTTGTCTTTCAACATAGGCTCGTTTCTTCTTTTTCTTGGTGTCCTCTTGTTGATCACCATAATCAACGAATTGATTCTCGAAGGTTTGATTGACAAAATCATTAAAATATTCATTCATTGCATCGCCGAGCGTATTAAGGGAAGAAGATGCCATTACGAGAAAAAAATAAGTTTTTTAGAAGATTGTATGAATAAAAGAAGAACAATGGTTTTGTGTTCTAATAATACAAGAAGAACAACGTGTTGTTGTGGTGTTGTTTTAGTGTACGAATATAAGAAGAAGAATAAGAAGAAGGCAAGTGTTTTGTGGTTGTGTTGTAATAATAGAAGAAGAAGAGCAATTGTTCGGTGGTGAAATAATAAGCATTGTGTTGAAATATATAGCAATGTTGGTGTACGATAAACGAATAAAAGAAGAACAATTGTGAACCACATAAATTCATCGGCAAATACAAATTCAAAGACAAGTGGTGTCTACACATAAAAACAAAACTACATGAGTCATACACAACTCAATATGTGGTGGTGGCTTCTTTGTCTTCTGTTGTGGAAGAAGCTTGTGACTTTTCAGCTTTTTGTAAAAGCTATTGAACTTGTGACCTCCCCAGCCAAAAACATATGCAAAACAGAACAATAAAATGCAAGTTAGAGAGAGAACAATAAAAAGCACAAAGTAAAGATGCAGACAATATAGCAAGTAAGCATATTTCAACACACATCTCAACAGAATCATAACCAAACACAACACCATATATTAAAAGCAGAATCAGAACCAAACACAACACCATACATTAATAGAAACACAATCATAATTCTTCAAACATTAGCCGAGACATTTAATCATGCTATTAAAAACATGAATCATGAAAACTGACAAGAAAATATCAAACTTAAACAAACTAGGAAACAAACCTAAGACAACATTTCATTAACTTGTTCTTGAGAGCAATTTCTATCTCAGAAAGCTCTGTTCTTCCAAGAAGACTCTCAAGCAGCTTAGCCTTATCATGCTCTCTCTGCAAAGCAAAGTCCTTCTGCCTAATTTCCCACATACCCTGAAATGTGTTCAGAACTTGTTCTTGTTCTACTTTTACAGTTGCAGTCTTTTTTCCTTGGGCTTTGGCTGCCTTCACACCAGGAGGCCTTCTCATTCTTTCACCATCGTCAACACTCATTGGCTGGAAACTTGTTGGATGAGCAGCACCATTCACACCCTTTCTTCTTTTTGAGCTTTCAATAGTAGGTGCTCCACACCATTTCTGATCGAACTTGAGCTCTCTCCAAGCATGATCCAATGAGAACTTCTTCTGCATATCATTGAAGTAGATTGGTGTGCCATCTTCATTACATCATCCTCACTCTGTCCAGATGCTTTTTGATTTGTTGCTGCTGCATAACACCCCACAAACTTATTCACTATTTCATTGACCTTGCTCCACCTTTGCTTACACTGGGCCGACTCTCTCTTTGGGAAACCTTCAAGCTGCGGGCTATTAGAGACATATGCTGCAATTCGTTTCCAGAATGATCCACCTTTTTGATCATTCCCTACGATAGGATCCTTGCTTGTATTTAACCAAGCACTTATGAGGACAAGATCCTCTTTTGGTTTCCATTTCTTTCTAGAGACACCCACCTTTGGTATGGCTGTGGCAATGGCTTCATCTTCACTTCCTTCATCAGACCATTGTGTGCTATAAAGAGGGACTTCAGATGAGCCAGGGACTTCTTGTTGACTATGCAACAGGTCCATGAAACCAGACGGCAGCCCACTATCATCCATTTGGTAGTGGTTGTGTTTGTGGTTTGTGGTTAAAGGTTTCAGGAAGAGAATACTTAAGTGGTTTGAGGTTTGTGGTTAAAGGAGAAGGAAGAGAATTAGAAGGTGTTTTTGGTTTCTGGTTTGTGTTAGTGTTAACAATTTAAAGAAGGTGAAAGTGTCTTAAGTGTTAGCAATCAATGACACTAAAGACACTAAAGTCTTTACCTAATCTAAACCAACTAAGAAGTTACTACACATAATTTATTACATACAAACCAATCAACATACAAAGCTTTTTACAAAAATTTTAAAATCTGTAATACAAAAGATTGAAAACATAGAACATACACTCTATTACGCAGATTATTAACTCTCTACAATGGCATTTAAACAGATAACATTCAAAGCATTGAAAACAGAACATACAAAGCATGAAACAGAGATTACAAAAAAAAACAGCAAGTTAAAAAAAGATTCTTATTTAAGCAATCAATTGGATGGTAAAAAAACTTAAGACACAGAGCATTTATGCAACTATGATGTTCAGTTTACTTACTACTACTTAGCACTTATGCAATCAGTCGTATTCAAGCATTTATCACACACTAACAATAACTATGATGTTCAGTTAGCTACTCTCTACTTAACACTATACATAATCTACTCAAGCATTTATCAGAAAATGCATTTATTAAACAAACAATCAATGCAATAACAAAAGATGGAGCATTTACCTTTAATCAAATCTCAGAAGCCTTCTCCTTTTGCAGATCCTTGCCATCTCCACTTACCTTCTCCAATAGCCTTCTGGACTTGCAGTTTTCCCATTGACACTCAACAAAAAACAGAGAGAAAGAGAAAACAATTAGAAAGACATTAACATTCAACTCACAAATTTATCCAATGAAAGTAACAGATATAAACACTAATAGACTAATTTTAATGATTCAAAACAGAGATAAATATATCAAATTTCATGTCTGAATACTGAAATCAAGCAACATCCGAGAATGCTTCATGATACTCAAACTAAGTGTGCAAAATCCGAGACTATCTACCAAAATCAAACAATATATTTCCAGATTTTTGCTCAATCATGCCTAATAAGTGAAACAGAACCTCCAATTCGATTCAAATGACCAAACAAAACAATAATGTGATTTCCCGAAACTATGAACCCTAAATCTAACAATCTATGACAAATTCGTCAACAATTATGGTTATTTACTAACAAAAAGCCTCCTAATTTCTTAATAAACAACAAATTGTCGCTAAAAACGAAAAACCCTAAATTATAAATCGAAACCCTAATTTTCTTCAAACCCTAATTTCGATCGGGAACCACAAAATAAAACGAATCAAGTCACGATACACAGAGGAAAAGGGCTAGATTCACACTTGGAACAAGATATTGGACCATCCTTCAACGAATCTTTCTTCTCCATCGCCAATCTTCGATTCGGTTTGACTCCATTCGCCGATGGTTTTAACCGTCTATCCAGCTGATGATTCCCGCGGCAGGTAAGTCTCACATACCACGAAATCGGCGTCGATTCATCGGAAACTCACGGAAACGGCGTCGATTCGTCGGAAAATTTTATCGCCATCGAGAGAGAGACTTCCGCGTTTTCTTCTTTCTGTCGAGAGAGAAAAAAGAACAAAAAATAATGAGAGTTTTTTTTTCCTTTTGGTTAAATGTTTCCTCCAACCAATAAATGACACGTGTGCGGTTCTCTGAAAATCTCAAATTCCTCTTAAGAGAAGCGATTCTCTTTTATTTACTCAGTTTTGAATTATTTTTGATCAAAATAATCAAGAGAACTCCATTAAAATTTTGAGACAACCTCCCTTTGGAGGTGCTCTTACAAGCCCAAAACATTTATTTTAAAAATAATAATAAAAAAAACTATAATCGGCTTAGGCCATTTAGATTTAGCTGGTTTTCTCTAGCTCATCACAAGATCAAAATATGATAGATCAATGGGGCATACTCAACTAATACTCTATACAGATAATTTCTAGGAGTTTATTACATTTGATAAAAAAAAATTATCCTAGTTTTGCTTGTATATAAATACTTAAAAATCATTATGCAAATCAGGTTAGCAATCAACCCCTAGATCATATTTTTCAAAATTGAAACAAATTTTATATGGTTTTGTGAAATATTCGTTTGATTATACAATCATAGGATCGGAAAGTTCACATTCAAGAATATATGTGTACTGTATTATAGAAATATATTTTTGTTCGTCATCTTGTACAATTTAGTAGTTGTATATTGTTCTGAAAATGTAGGCAAATATATGTGACTTAGTGCTGCGTACACATGTATTTCTTAGTGAAAGTTGAGATTTCCTCGTTTATAATATAATCTATGGAACTTTATGTGACTACATCTACATATAGAATTTGCATGAAAACTTCTCTTAATTTTGTTCTTTACATTTGTTTTAGCATCAAAATCCGCAAGTCTTCGATAAGAACGAAACTAAGAATTGAATGGTCAAGTCTTCTTTTTCTTCCTTTTCAAATGGAATTTCTTAAATTTGAAAACGTATTTCTTTATAGTAATAAAAAGAGGTTACTTTTTAGTATGAATATTAATATTTAAAGTTCATTGTTTAACACTTCAAAGAATGTTCATCCATTTTATATATATATATATCGGATAGTGGCTAAACACCAAGACCAACGCCTTTTTTATGTGACGGATATTCGATTTCTCTCCCCGCGGCTGAGGAAAAGTAATCGTTAGATGTGTCGAATAAACTTAAAGCAACCCTAAACATGTTGATCCACTATGAAAATATTAAACTTCTCATGTTATTATTGTTAATTAGAATTATTTATACTACGGAGGAATTTTGGAAGATATTGTACTTTATAAAAATAAATTAATTTTGAAGGAAATTCCAATGAAAGTTTCGAGCATATTAATCAAAGATTTGTTTACCAATTTATAGAAAGTCAAATACACAACTTTAGTTTGTATAACTTCTTAGTATAAACAAAATGCTTTGAATATGTACTAGGTCAGAGTTTTTTGAAGCTATAAAAAGGATAACAACGAACATATAATGATCATATAAGTAACTTCAAATTCTAAAAACCATCAATGATGATTACCTCCAAATCTATAGCTCTAATAATAATCTTCTTATTATATCTAGTTTCTTGTGTCTCAAGTCAACGAGAAATTAAGTTTCTTAACCATGGCTTCCTCGGGGCTAATCTCCTCAAGTTCGGCTCCTCCAAGGTTCACCCAAGTGGCCTCTTGGAATTGACGAACACTTCCATGAGGCAGATAGGTCAAGCTTTTCATGGCTTTCCCATACCCTTGTCAAACCCTAACTCCACAAATTCTGTTTCTTTCTCCACAAGCTTCGTCTTCGCCATCACTCAAGGACCCGGCGCACCAGGCCACGGCTTAGCTTTCGTCATTTCACCCTCGATGGACTTCAGTGGGGCTTTTCCCAGCAATTATCTCGGCCTCTTCAACACCTCCAACAATGGAATCTCCTTGAATCGCATTCTTGCAGTTGAATTTGACACCGTGCAGGCCGTTGAGTTAAACGATATTGATGATAATCATGTTGGTATCGATCTAAACGGAGTGACCTCCATTGAGTCCGCACCGGCGGCATATTTTGATGACCGAGAGGCCAAGAACATAAGCTTGAGGCTGGCGAGTGGGAAACCAATTAGAGTCTGGATTGAATACAACGCAACTGAGATGATGCTCAATGTCACGTTGGCTCCTCTAGATCTCCCGAAGCCAAGTATACCTCTTCTCTCGAGAAAACTGAATCTTTCTGGGATTTTATCCCAAGAACATCATGTTGGATTCTCTGCGGCCACGGGAACTGTAGCTAGCTCACATTTGGTTCTAGGTTGGAGCTTTAACATCGATGGCACAGCATCAGAATTTGATATCACGAAGCTTCCTTCTCTTCCAGACCCGCCGCCTCTATTGTCTCCGTCCCCAAGTCCTCCGGTTTCAGTCAAAAAAGATTCGAACAACATGAAGCTGATTATTATCTGCGCTACATCAGGAACGTTTGTAATCGTGATCTTGATTCTCTTAGGGTTTTGGGTATTCCGTAGAAAGCAAACATTCTTTACAGGAGGTGCAAGGAAATTCTCCCACCAGAAAATATCGAGCGCAACAGGAGGTTTTGACAACTCTAAACTCTTGGGAGAGAGAAACTCTGGGAGTTTCTACAAAGGGCAGCTTAGTCCCACAGAGATAATTGCCGTAAAGAGAATTACTTGCGCCACAAGGCAACAAAAGACAACCCTAATAACCGAGATCGATGCAATTTCCAAGGTAAAACAAAGAAATCTTGTTGATCTGCATGGTTATTGCAGCAAAGGAAACGAGATCTATCTAGTTTACGAGTATGTCCCCAACGGAAGCCTAGACCGGTTCTTGTTCAGCAACGACCGCCCTGTTCTCACCTGGTCAGACCGGTTCTGTATCATAAAGGGCATTGCGTCAGCACTTCAACACCTTCACGGTGAGGGACAAAAACCTCTTATTCACGGAAACGTCAAAGCCAGCAACGTACTCTTAGACGAAGAGCTAAACGCTCGACTAGGAGACTATGGGCATGGAAGCAGACACAGCACCACGGGACATGTGGCACCAGAACTAGTCAACACGGGAAAGGCTACACGTGACACAGATGTTTTTGAGTTTGGAGTGTTAATGATGGAGATTGTTTGTGGAAGAAAAGCTATAGAGCCGACAAAGCCACCAGCAGAGATAAGTTTGGTGAACTGGGTGCTTCAAGAGTTCAAGAAAGGGAATTTGTTACAGATCTGCGACACAAGAGTCAATAGAGAGAATTTGGTAGCTCGAGAAGTGTTGTTGGTTCTCAAAACTGGACTTCTCTGCGCGAACCGATCTCCAGAATCAAGGCCAATGATGAAGCAAGTGTTTCGGTTTCTCGATGGAACAGAACCTCTCCCTCATGATGACTACCTCTTCTATGGAGTCTAAAATGTGATCTCAAAACGTGTTTGTATCGAAGTGTTTGCGTTAAATAGTGTGATTTAAAGATTGGACCAAGATATGTATTAAACATGATAATGTGAATAAAACCTAGCTAGAATAGTATTTTACTCAATTTGTAAATTTGAAAATAAGAACATCTGGTTTTGAGAAATATTCTTGTTGATGGACAATCTTCTACTCTTCAGGGAAAATTAATATTACAAAAAATATATCTTTGATCTAATCTAAATGGTGTTTTGTTATGTCATTTTAGGATACATAGCTACGAAACTTTATGTGATGACTTCATATACAAGAATGGAATTTCCATTGAAAACATCTCTTGGGTTTTTTAGCTTATAGCCTTATATTAACCTCCGCAAGTTATCAATTATATGAAGGAAAATTTAAACGCTCAAATTTAGAAATTTAATTCAATGACAAAGTAAGAAGACTGACCATTCAGTTCTTAGTTTCGTTCATATTGATTAAAATCCGTAAGTTATCAAATGTCTTAGTATAAATATATGTTTAGAATTCACTACTGTTCAACGACTTAGATAGATATATAGGTTTCGGCCCGGAACTTCCTAGTTATAAAAAAAAATCTCATTAGTTAATTATGGCAAGAAAATTATAAAGTGATTAACCCTAAAGTAAATACTAAATATTATTTTTTTGTTCGCTAATATACCGCTTAAAAATGTTGGATACACTAACTTTAATTTGAACTATATAGATTGTATAGAATATATAATTTCTTACTTTATTGTTGCAATTATTTTTTATTCAGGAAGAAATTGTTGAGGAAACTCCAAATGAATTTTTCAAGGATATCAATAAGGGATTTGTTTAGCAATTTATAAAAGTCAACTTAAGTTTGGTTAACTTTCCTAGCATAAACAAAAATATTTGAATGATGTTAAAGAAAAAATAAACAAAAAAGGTTTGAACAGGAAAAGGTCGAATATTTTGAAGCTATAAAAAGAGAGTAATGAACATGCCAACATAATTAAGTAATTCTAAAAACCATCAATAATGATTACCTCCAAATCGATAACTTTATCAATAATCTTCCTATTATACCTAGTTTCTTGCGTCTCAAGCCAGCGAGAAACCAAGTTTCTAAACCATGGCTTTCTCGGGGCTAATCTCTTGAAGTTTGGCTCCTCAAAGATCCACTCGAGTGGCCTCTTGGAGCTGACAAACACTTCGATGAGGCAAATTGGTCAAGCTTTTCATGGATTTCCCATATCCTTCTTAAACCCAAACTCCTCCAATTCAGTATCTTTCTCGACGAGTTTCGTCTTCGCCATCACTCCAGGACCAACGACACCAGGCCACGGCTTGAGCTTCGTTATCTCTCCGTCGATGGACTTTACTGGAGCCTTTCCCAGCAATTATCTTGGCCTTTTCAACACATCCACCAATGGAAACCCCTCAAACCGCATTCTCGCAGTTGAGTTCGACACGGTGCAATCAGTTGAAATGAAAGATATTGATGATAATCACGTAGCCATCGACCAAAATGGGGTGGTCTCCATTGAATCTGCCCCGGCTGCATTTTTCGATGACCGCGAGGCGAAGAACATAAGTCTGAAGCTGGCAAGTGGGGAGCCAATAAGAGTTTGGGTCGAATACAACGCGACTGAGATGATACTCAATGTCACATTAGCTCCTCTAGATCGTTTGAAACCAAGCTTGCCTCTCCTCTCTCGAAAACTAAATCTCTCGGGGATTATCTCTCAAGAGAATTATATTGGATTCGCTGCTGCCACGGGAACCGTTACGAGCTCACATTTTGTGCTAGGCTGGAGCTTCAGCATCGAAGGGAAAGCATCAGACTTTGATATTACAAAGCTTCCTTCTCTTCCAGACCCGCCACCGCCATTTTCTCCATCCCCAAATCCTCCGGTTTCAGCCAAAAAGAATTCGAACAACACGAAGTTGATCATAGTCTTCGTTGCATCAGGAACATTTGGACTCATGTTCTTGGGCTTCTTAGGTGTTTGTGTTTTCCGTAGAAATAATACATTCTTCACAGGAGGTGCAAGAAAATTCTCCTACCAGACGATTTCAAGTGCAACAGGTGGCTTCAACAGATTTTTAGGAGAAGAAAACTCCGGACGTTTCTTCCGAGGTCAGCTAGCACCAACGGAGATAATCGCGGTAAAGAGAATTACTTGCAGCACAAGGCAGCAAAGGCTTTCCATGATAGCTCAAATCGATGCAATCTCCAGGGTTAGACATAGAAACCTTGTTAATCTAATTGGATACAGCAGCAGAGGAAACGAGATCTATCTTGTTTACAAGTATGTTCCTAACGGCAGTCTTGATCGCTTCCTGTTGAGCAATGAGCGACCAGTTTTAAACTGGTCAGATCGGTTCAATATCATAAAGGGGATTGCCAAAGCATTGCAGTACCTTCACAGTGAGTGTCAGAGTACTCTCATTCATGGAAACGTCAAAAGCAGTAATGTGCTCCTCGACGAAGAGCTGCACGCTCAGCTTGGAGATTATGGGCAAGGAAACAGGCAAAGCAACACAGGTCATGTAGCTCCAGAGCTTGTTGAGGCAACCGCAGTACCAACATGTGACACGGATGTGTTTGCATTTGGAGTGCTTATAATTGAGATTGTATGTGGACGTACTGCAATTGAGCCGACAAAGCCACCAGAAGAGATCAGTTTGGTAAATTGGGTGTTTCAAGGGTTTAGGAAAAACAAGTTGCTCGAGTGTTGCGATGCACGAATCAATCGAGAGGAAATGGTGGCTCGGGAAGTACTACTCGTTCTTAAATTGGGACTTCTATGTACAAACCGATCTCCGCAAGTCAGGCCAGTTATGAGAAAAGTGGTACAGTATCTTGATGGTACTGAACCACTCCCTCATGACGACTAAATCTTCCATGGAGTCTAACAAGAAAACTAAACAAACAACTCCTAAGGTGTCCATGTATCGTGTTGTGTTGCAGCGAATACGTTCTGGGTAGTGTGAACAAAGATTGAACCCAGACCCAAACGCATAATTTATAAATACTATCTGTATGATATTCTTTCTTCTACTAAATTGCTTTTGTGATTACAAAGTGAAATACAAGAATTGTTGTTATTGCAAATCCCGTAAGGAAAAAGCCTTTGCTAATCTAAGATGCGAGAAGGGTACTTCACCTGAGTGAGTCCATCAGTCCAGGCACAAATGAGAGGATCCGTAATATACCCACTTTCTTAACCAATTCTTGTAGTTGACACTATAGTCTCATCTATAAACAAATCCCAGAGGACGACCAAGTTTCAGTATAACGTTGGAATTTCAATTAATCCAACATGAGTACCACATGGAACCGCATAAGCTCGTGGAGCATTAGCATTCTTCTATCAACCCAAACACAATACTTCCCAGACAATCACAATATCAAATTTCTATAAAGAGACTACTCAATGCAAGAAACTATTACCAGAATATCAGAGCCATGAATGTCTGCATAAAGTCTGCACTCAAGAATAGCAGAGTAATTGTCACTTGTCCAATTTTGCTGCCACCAACAAACAGACCACATAAGAAAAGTTTGAACATGTAAGAAAAAACAAAACATAGAGGGATAAATCTAGCAAGGGATTGTATCTTAAAAGATGATGTTCAAATAACGCTGGATAAGGACTTAGTGGCTGATGCCCTTCTTTGCTTTCAATGACTCGAGTGCTTTGTTTCGCAACTCAATTTCAAGCCTCTTTGGATCAGACTCCCCCCCTTTTTTATTCTTAGGACGGGCTTCAGCTTCTCCTTCTGAAGTATCAGATAGCTCTCGATTCTTATGTTTCTCCTTTCCACCACGTCGTTCTTCCCTTTTACGACGTCTCTCCTCTCGCCTACGTTTCTTCTCCTCCTTTCTCGTTTTCTTCTCCTCCTTCCTCCTCCTTTTAGCCTCCTTCCTATCATCTAGGTCAGAATCAGAACTGCCATTATCATCTGAAGATACTTCTTCCCTCGAAGACCTTTTATTCTTTCTTCTCTTTTTATCCTTAGTTCGATGTCTGCTGCTTTCCTTAGAATCAGAGGAAAGGTTTGCATCCAGGTCGCTGTTATCATCTTTCTCAACCTGCTCACTGTCTTTCACTTTACCAGAAACAGGCCGACTCTTTCCTTCTGAATTTTCTACTGGGGACATCTGTGAACCATGGGTTCTATGACCGGAACGCCTCTCTGTCAACTTATCACTGTTAAGAAGTTGAATAGACCAACATTTATCAGACCTTGAAATTTGAAGTCAAACGAAAATCATCTGGGAAAAAGGAAAAGAAACAAAATGCACCTCTTTCTCTCTTGCTCCCTATAATGGTCGACACGCCCAACTTCTAGCACCTCCTCTGGTAATTGTTTCCTCTTGTCAGTATCAGGCACTGAAGTTCTCTTTAACAGCTTCGAATTTTGAACCCTGCCACAATGCGAAAGCAGACAGAGGGTCAAGGAGTTAACAAGTACAGATAAGAAGAATCTGCATGTGTCTTTTTTTTGGGGTCAAAATCTGCATGTATCTTAGAAAAGTTTATACCACCTTATTTTAAAAGGCATTTACATAAATGTAAATGGAGTCATGAAGAGCATACCTATCTTGTTCTTCAGATAGATGCCCAGGAGATCTTCTGTCCCTCTGATGTTTTCTTCCATATGCAGAAGGAGATCTATGAAGAACAGGAGGTGATCGAGACCTAGAAGGAGACCTGCTCGAAGATGGAGACCGTCTCTTACGTCTGTCATCAGGTGATTGTGAAGCAGATGGAAATCTTCGATTTCGCCGGTTGACAGGAGTTGGTGATCTGCGCCGAACAGGAGAGCGCGCTTTCTGATGTCGAGTAGGGGAAGATTTACCTTGACCCCTAGCAGGTGACGTAGATCCACCTTGCTTGACATGTGAAAGGGATTCTGCTTCATGGCGTCCAGCTGGTGACAGGGAGACTCGCTCTTCAGCAGGTGTCAGTGACCTACGTCTTCTAACAGGTGGAGATGGTAACACTTTTTTCCTACCAGGAGGGGACAGTGAACTGGGTCTGGGTGATGGTGATTCCAGGTGATTGGCTGCATGAGATCCTCCAACCCTCATTGGCGAAGGTAATCCTGCACGCCTAGGGAGTGGTGGAGGTAACCTTTGCCCAGCGGGTGGTGAAGGCAACCTTTGCTCAGCCGGTGGTGAAGGCAATCTTGCCCCAGTGGGATCCCTGCGCCTAGCCACTGGTGACGGAGACCTCCCTTGTGAGCCAGACCTTTCCCGCTTAACCAGTGGTGACCGTGACCTGTTACGACTATAGAGTGGAGATGGAGACCTGCGCCGCCTAGCTGGCGGTGAAGGAGACCTACGCCGCCTAAAGGGCAGTGGAGAACGGCGACGCCTAGCAGGGGGCGATGGTGACCTGCGCGGCCTAGCAGGTGGTGATGGTGACCTACGCCGTCTAACAGGTGGTGATGGTGACCTGCGCCTCCTAGCAGGTGGGGATGGTGACCTGCGCCTCCTAGAAGGTGGGAATGGTGACCTGCGCCTCCTAGCAGGTGGGGATGGAGAACGGCGACGCCTTGAAGGGGCTGGTGATTGACGGCGTCCCTCAGGCGTATGTCGCCTGTGACGTCTAATAGGTGACCGTGACCTGCTTCCATAAGGAGAATGTATCGTACGTCGCCGAGGAGATAGAGACCTACGCAAGGAACGTGATCTGGATCTACGTCTTGAATTCGACAATCTCCGCTTTCTAGGTGAGATGGAGGCATCTGATGATTGAGACAAGCTCCTGGATTTCCGTTCACTGTTATACAAGTAGACAGTCATTAGCAAAAACTGCACTAGGATTTACAGGAAATAATAGATACAGAACTAGCAAGTACGACACCACAGGCTGCAATTTCTTTGGATTAAGAAAAACAATTGCGGAAGGCTACATACCCAGAATAACTTTTCGAGCCTGAATTTGTTTTGCTGATTGACCTAGAACGTGACCCCCTGCAAAGCAACCAATCAATATACTCACTCAAATATATAAGCAAATTTTACTAGAAAAAACGAAATTATTGAAGAGTCACCTAAGGGGTGAGCGGGATGCATCTCTGCCACGTGGAGGTATCAGATCCCTGCATCAAGGAGGCAATGTCAGAACCCACTCACATAATAATCGTGGCCACAAACAAATTCCTGGACCACCAGCACACCAGATGAACATGCAAAGCACCAGTAGCATAACTAAAAATGCTAAAAGACTAGAAGACCCAGAACAGCCATTGGTAGAAATACTTGATCAAATCATGCCAGCGAGAACTTATAGAGATAATCCATTTACAACAGAAAGATGAACTCAATCAAGAATAAAGAAGAAAAGGGCATAAAGTGATAAGTAGAAAGCAGCTATGAAATCATACTTATCATAGGCATTAAGAAAACTCTACCTTCTCCTTTCTTTCACACCATTCTTCTCGTCAGCCCTTCTCCCATCCTCTAGACGATCTCTTGAAGGTTTTGTATCCATGCCATTTGTCTCCTTGTGTTCTACGCCGCTGTCCTACAGTAGTTTGAGGTAAAGCACATGAACCCTAATAATTGCAGAAGCTATCTGAATAACATGAAAGAACAGGCGAATGTTAAAACCAGAAGAACATCTGTAAAGAGTGAAACTCTAGCATGAATAAGACTGTCTTACTATTTTCCTCAATATATCATGCTCAGGGTTCTTCTTTTCTCCCTCCCTCTTCCTCTCTATTTCATTTGCTAACCGATCTGCTTTTTGTATTGCTTCTTCCTGCCACAAAAGGAAAATAAATCATGAGACAGCAGGAGAAAGAAAAGTCATTCATCATCAATCCAGAATGACTTCCCAAGAATACCTGTTTCTTCTTTGTTTCAGCTTCTCTAGCATCTAAAAACTGCTGCGGAACACCACTTGAATTATTCTGTGCGCTTAGAAGAAGTGTCCAAAGTTCTTTCATAAACTTGCCAGTATTTTTCTCCATGAATCCAGTTAGCGATATCTGAATCTCCTTACCGTTCACTACCTACATTAGTAACACCGTTCAATTATATATTACTCCAACAAAAGTTTGACAGCAACAAAAATATCTCACATGTATCAATGTGGCTATAAAACTATAATTCACAGTCGAATAAGGAATAGAAAAATAAAAGCTCAGTTATAAGCTTACCTTCCCATCAAGCAGACCATAGATAAAGTTAATCAGCACTTCATCTTCAAAACCAAGAAGCTCAGTGACTCTAGTCGCAATCCAAGGCTTCATAACATCCATCTTCACTTTAGTCACATCCACCTAACACCAAAGCCAAGTAGAGGATATCATTAAGCCTTCTCCAAACTTAATTTCATAGTATTGAATCTCAATTAAGTAATACAACCTACGAATTCACAATTCAACTCACCAGATTCTCCAACTCCGGAGCAAATTTCTGACTCTTCATCAATTTGGCTTGCTTGTTAGAAAACCGAGTATCCTGCTCGGCGGAAGTACCCTAAAAAAACTCAAAACAAACAAGAATCAGAGACGGCGTAATCGAAACCTAACTTCTACAGACATACGATGAAGAACATTTGAATTGCATCGATCTGGATCTAAAAGATAATACATCAAATTCGAGAAAGAAGATGATCGGAAAACTCACCCGGAAGAAACCGCCGGACATAGTTTAGGGTTTGTGGAAGCACTTGCTCTTCTCTAGAAGAGAGATCGAAGCTTGAGAGAGATTTGTGCTTTTGTGTAGAAGAAGTATCGGCAGATGTGAGAAAAAGGGAGATTTTGAAGAGTTTTTACGAGCCCTAGCTATATTGGACTCACTTAATTTTGTTATTCCATTGTTACCCTCAAGAGTTTTTGAATATTACGTTATTGCCATTTGTGGGAACATTCGTAAAAAGAAAGCAAACAGGTTCGATCTCACCTTTCTTGACAAGCCTTTTTTAATATGATTAGTTTCAATTGCCATAACTTATGGGCTAAAGCCCAAAGCAAACCTAGTCTTAATAAATCTCGTACGTCTGTCTATTGCTTTTGAACTAGGATCCGACCCGCGGTCCACCACGGGAGAATATTGGTTTACATACGTTGCGTTTAATATTGTGTGTATTTTTTAGTAGAACGAATCGTGTAGTATACTTATAAATATTCATAATAACGAATTCTAGAGAAAATGTAAAATTGTTTATAAATATACCTATCGTATGATTTACAAAATAGAATTTTGTGTTTTAAAATTCTAAAATTAGACGATTCATGGGAATTAGAGCAGTCAAAATAGGTCAAAAACCGCGGGTCGAGCCCACATCATCTCACTATGGGGCAGATTTGGGGAAATATATTAAATCCGTAAATAAGCGGGCCACATGGATTAATTCGCAGTGGGTCATAGGTTTAATCGGTTTTCATCCGCGGGTTGGCGGATCAGCCCGCATATTAGTATTTATTGATAAAATTATAATTTATTCAACATGTGGTAATTTAAACAAACTTTTAATAGTATTTTTATTTATTTATTTATTTTAGTAGTATTTTAAATTTTGGTTACTTTAAAATTATTTAAACAAAATCCATGGACAATCCCGCAAATCCGCATACATTCGTGGGACGAGTTTGTATTTCATATATGCTACCCGCGGGTCGTGCGGACCGACTAACATAAGTGAAAATATTTTTTGTCTATCGCAAAACGGACTCAACGGGACGAATCAACTCACTTTGACAGTTCTAATGGGAATATTATTTAGTCCTACAACAAAATGAAGTTTGGACATAGTATTAATAGAATATGTCTCTTATTTGTTAGATGAGAGATTGAAAGATGAAGTATAATGATTAAAAATTAATTATTATTTTTCATGATTCACAAAATTTAATAAATACTTATTTGAATAATTCTAAAATCATATTCAAAAAATCTTTATAAATTGAAAATTAAACTTCTTTGGTAAGCTATACGTATGAAAATATCATAATTTCGATTTAATCTAATTAAATTAAAATTAGTTACATGGATTTCATATCTATTTAATTTACACGACCAAAATAAAAATATCTATTTAATTTACACGACCAAAATAAAAATATCAATTTAATTTATAAAACAGATGGGTTATTTGTGATAAATTTTCTAGAAATCTTTAGAAGCAAATAAAATATCTTTCAATTAATGATAACTGGCTAAAATGAGCGAAATTAATGACAAAAATGTTGATTGTTATGGAATTAGTCTCAAAAATATATGAACAAATTTATTATACGTAATTAATGTATAATATTGTTCGGAATATGCTTTTATTATTAGTTACCATAAGTACAATAAGATTTTATTTTATTTCCATAAATATTTGATTTTATTTAAATTTTTCATTATTAATTCGAATTTATATTCCAAAATAATTTCAAAGATCCGATTTCAGAATTTCGGGTCAATTTTCTGATTTTAACCCGACCCATTTTCATTTATACTTCTATTTTAATAGTATAGAGATGATAAAAGATTATCTTATTGAAATAGGCACTTTTGGAAGTGATTTTTTTCTTCTAAAACGAACAGAGTGTGTCACGGAAACTTATATATGTTAATTGTGTGGACAGATTAAGCAACTGAAAATGGTTTTAGGTTAAGTAGGGTTGGTAGATGAAGTTAATAAGAGATAGAAGGTGAAAGTTGATGAAAGTGTTGAGGTTTAATAGATAGAACATAGGATAAGGAGGACAATAAATGTGTTTCAAAGAGAGGAAGAGATATGAGAGTTTCTGGAGCTGAGGTAAACTATCATGGATGTTTGCAGACATTATTTTGTTAGTTTGGTGGAAAGATTAATATTTTAGAGCGTAAAACGACCATAAATAAATAGTAGAGTTAAAACTTAAGTAGGATGAAGTTAAATCAGGTGATTTTTGTTTTATGATCTTTGCTCTTTTGTGTGTTAATTGATTACAGTTGGTTGTTGGGACAATGTGTAGGTAAATGTGGAGAAAGATACCAAAGAGGGTGGATTTTATGTTGAGTTTGTTCATTTATTTATAAAGGTTTATATTTATCTAAGGGAAATAAGCTGATTTTTGTTTGTGTTTGATTAAAGGAAAATATGATACGTTGACTTTTGTTTGTCTAGTTATATGTTTTGTGGCTTTAGAAGGTGGCCAAAGCATTCTTTGTTTAAGTAGACGAGTGGGACTGCTCATAGAATGGTGTGGACAAGAAAATGTATGGCACAATTGAGGAGGAAATGACCTACAATGTGTCGAAATGGCATATTGAGTGAGAGTTTGAGATGAGGGGAAAACCTTCAAAGAGAAAGTATCGTACTGGCTATCGATTGATATGTTAGAGTTTTTTTTTTTTTTGGAAAAAAAATCCGACACCATCAAAAATGACATGGGATTGTAAAAAGATTTTAAAGTAGCTAGGAATAGTGAAGAAAAGACTAAACTTGGTTGTAACCTACAAAAATTGTTGTGTGATATTGATATTCTGCCATTATATGAAAATACAACATTCCATGATAAGAAAAAAAAAAAACCATTTTCATGCTTGAAGAGGACACCCCCATCATATGACATCAATGGAAGACTTGAAAAAATAGAGATGGAACTGTTGTTAAGGGAATATTTAACAAAAAAAAAACATATACTCGTATGAAACAACTAGTAAAATTGACCTAATTAAATTGTATTTTGGAAGAAAATGAGCTGGTGGATTGAAGGCGGTGGAAGCAATGACGAAAAAAAGATCAAGAGGATATATGTAGAAAAAAAAAAAAAAAAAGTTACATGCGGTGGTAATCTTAAAAGTGAAATAGTACAAGTAATGGCAACTAGCAACCAACAATCTTATGGAACGGGAAATGGAGAAGACTATGACTACAAGTTTGGGGTGCATTAATCATTAGAAAATATGGGTTGGTGCAAACACGATGAGGGAGTTGAGTTTGGCCAGCCATCTTATGGCATTAGAATTACTTATGTTTCTAAGACTATAGATGAAAGTATGGCTAAAAACCAACTAAGAGTTGTTTGATCGTAATATGTGTAGACAACAAGTGTGAAGGGTGTATGAGCACATTATGGGAGGCAGGTCTATAAACATAGAAGTATGCAAATGAAAATATGAGAGCAATGACTATAGTTATCTTTAATATTGTGTTAGATGAGCTCTCAGCTCCATGTTTCAATGATTATAGTCAGTGGCGGAGACAGAAAAATTGTTTATAGGGGTCAATTTTTTTTTTTTGTATATAAAAAATTATATCAATTTTATTAGGAAAAAAGAAAAAATATCATCACAATTATATGATATATTATTGTCTCGTTTGCCACAAATTAGATAGCGTACATTTTTCAATTGTAAAATTAAACAATCATTGAAATGATATCAACGAGACGATTATACGAAGTCATTTTCACAATATTCATAGAAAAAAAATCAATAATAGTTTTAAAAGTCAATAAATCAAAGATGAGATTTTTCTTATTATTTTTTTTTGATCTTTGGATCGATAATGTCCGATCCATAGTCAATCCATACTACGCGGTAACGCGACTTAGTGGAGTCGAACTCCGGTGGGCAAGGCGGAGTCAAATGGACTTAACCACTTGACTAAAGATGAGATTTTTCTTAATATACGAGCAACATCATCACAACATTTTAGTTCAAATTAAAATATATATAAAGTTTTACCTAAATGTTATTTTTAAAGTGATTTTTAATGGATAAAAATGAGGTGAAAAAGAAGAAAATAGGAAAAATCCTAAAGTAACGAGAGATATAGATAATTAGGTTGAAGTTGAACTCATTCATGTTTTTATTTTAGATTTATTTGTATATTTATTTGTAAAGTTTGACTCTTAAATTAATATAACATTTTTTGGTACATAGATATTTAGTATAGTTTGCTCTTACATTAAAATATGATGGGGGTCAATTTTTGTTTTGTGATGGGGTAAATTTACAATTACCAATCAAAATTTAACTAGATTTAAAAAATTCATGGGTGTCAATTAACCTTCATGCTATAACTCTATCTCCGCCACTAATTATAGCTGTAAATACGAATTTCACTGGATCTTTGCCGAGCAAAAAATAAAGTAAGTTTCACAAGTATTTTCGCCGGCAAAAGATAAACAAAGTCTTATTAGTTTTTCAAAGTCGTGGGTAAGAAAAAAAAAAAGATAGAAGAGAACATATATTGTAAGTATCATGATTTTGGGTACTTTGTCATTCTCCTAATTAAGAAATTCTTTTATTATTGAGCTACTTTACTATTTTTAATTATCAAAAAATCTTAAAATTTTAAAATAAGCCAAAATATTGGGGGTTAGAACGGTGTATAAAAGTTTAGGAACAAGTCATATTAATTTTAAAAAATCCAAAAAAAAAATAGAAACTTTTGCAAAACCTAAAACTTAAGAAATATTCCAAAATTGTGGTATTGTAAAAAAAAAAAAAAAACTTACACAAAATAATTGTATTATTTACTAATTTTGAACTGAAAAATCCTAAAGATCCTGCCATCTAGAAGTGTACTTTGGTAAAGCTCTTTTCTGCTCTAAAAGACTAAAACCCAAACTGAAACAAAGGACAAAAAAAAGATCTCAAAACAGTTCCAACGAGGAAAATAAGGTTTCGTAGTTATCTTCCAATTTTTGATTTTTTTTAAAAAAATTAATGCTTTTTCTCATTCCTTTATGCAATCGCTAAGTCAAATCAACCCTAGTATTATTAATTCGCCGTAATTTTTTTAACTATGATTTCCATAGTTAAATCATAAAAAAGCACAAAAACCCTA